GTGTGAACTGAACTTTGAACTTTTTCACGTAGAAAGAGAACTTTCCCAACACTGCCTACAAGCATGCTTAGTGTGAGGGATTGCTGAAGAGTCAATGAGTCGATGCAATCAGCTGGTTTTCCTTAGAGAGAAAACTTTGACTTATTTCATCTGTATGATCTGGTTGACTTGTTTCTGTAAAGTGCCTTGACGTGGTGTGAATTAGCGCTATAGAAATAAATTGTAGGAGAACTGGTACTAAATTAGCTTCACAGAACTTCAGTCTTTGGTTGGAGTCGCCCAGCGGCTCACATTTAGACCTGGAAACATTCACCTGGTTCTCAGAGGCGTAGCTAGAAAATCCTAACAGGGGCGGCCAGTCAATCACCAATGAACATTGAGGGGGGGCCGAAAGGCACCAGAACCTCAGGGTCAATCTACACTGTTCCAACAGGAACAAGCACAACATCCATATTTTCTAAATAAAGACAAACTATACTTTCCTGCAGCCTTTGCTAACAAATAGATGCATAAATTTAAACATCTATGCTGTATAAATAAAAGCTATAGTGGACATAATTCTTTAAGGTTCAAATTCTGGAGCACATATTTCAATAATCATTCTGCAAAAGAAAAAGATAATTAAATCTACCAATATCCACATTTACAGAATGTTTATGTCATTATTAAATTAGTTATTTATCTATGATTTCACTGAAGACTCCTAGATGACTTGCAGAAGCACATCATTTTATCTCTACCCCAAATAATTCAAAATTTAGTTCTGAAAAGAGCATGAATTCTGTATCTATCATCTTTAATGTTTGTATATTGATGTGCATAAATAACTGCAGTGTTTCTGATGTCAAGTAGTTCTTAATATATCAAAAATTTTAATGTCTAATAAGTTTGAAAATTTCCCGATCAGAGTATTATTACTGCCTGTATTAGAGGGATCTAGCTCCGCCCCTTCTGGTTCTGAACTCTGACCCATACGTCCCTGATGCTAGTTCTGTGGACAGGAAGTCCTTCTGTTCATTTTTATGAATCTTTAAACCTTCAGTTTTTCCCCTAAAGTTGGAAACAAACCTTCCAGTCATGTTCTTACTGGTGATAGAAATCAGAATGATTCTGATCCGTCGTCACATTTTTCACACAAACTGTTCTTCGTCTTAATGAGGAGCCGTTCGGTTCTGGTCTCTGTCAGCGATAATGACACCAGAACCAGAGGAAACCAGGCGGTCAGCTGGGCTCCAGTGTTTAATGGTTCTAATGGATGCTGGGACGTTTAGCAGACCACTGGTCACTTTCAAAACCAGTTAGGCAGGAAGGCTTCCTTTCTGGGGTCTAATTGGAAACACGTTTGAAATGAGAAAGAAGGTGGGAAAGTTGAACTGTGAGAAAATCTGCCATCAGAAACACAAACGGTTTTTAATTCCTGTTTCTACTGCGGATTCAAATCCTGCCGTTATGGGGGGGGGGGGGGGACAGGAGGACCGACGCCCACCCAGACCAGTTCAACCAGCAGGCCTGCTTCACTGGTTTAACATCCAGTTGGAGATTTTATAAAAGAAAACCAATTATCTTTACGGCACATCCATAATTTAGTCTGTCAACTGTTCGTTTTTAAACCTGGAGCTGATTCATGGTGGAGTACATCGCCTCTCCCAAGATGGCGGCCATGTTGACCTGTGTTTATATCAAAGACTGGTGGTTTGCTGTAGATTTCAGGGCATCTCCTCGGGTCGCAGGGAAAACCCATCAGCTCTAATGGTGCGTTCACACCAGACATGGATCCAGTGGTTTTGTTGCCATGGTTACTTCACCATGATGGTTCCACCCGCATCACTGCACCCCGGAACGCTGGGAGAGCTCGACCAATCCGCTTCCACCTTCATGAGTCATTGGAAATGGTGGCCCACTGAGGATACGGAAGAGGATTAGGGCCACTGAAAAATTTTTAAAAAGCGAACTAATTTTGAAATATTTAATTTTAATATGGGAAAAGTCAGAAATCAGAGATTACATTCAGAATTTTTTTCACATATTAAACTG